GGGGTCACTTTACCTTTACTAAAGTGAATTATACAAATGTGACACTAGATGGTGATGGTGAGCTATGGCAGATTCAATATTTTTTTCCACGTTTTTATATGTGTCTAGTCTCTCTCTCTCTCTCTCTCTCTCTCTCTCTCTCTCTCTCTCACACACACACACACACACACACACACACACATGCTTTCTGCCTTCTCCTGCAGGATGTTCCAAGTCCTCCTCTCAATAGCGGCTACAAGGGGGCCATCATATCTCCCCCCTGCACCATGCTAATGCATGGCCATAGCCAAGGGGGGGGCAGGAAGGGGTAGCTGCTGCCCAAATAAATAAAAATTAATAAAAGTACATAGCAAACTGAGGTTCTGCCCACCCACAAAAGGCTTCCCCCTCCCTAATATCCTGGCTATGCCCATGTGCTAATGTACCCCAAAATCAACTTCTTCCTGAGTACAACAAGCTGCTGCTGATAGCGCTCCGTCTCCCCTTCCTGGAGGTGGGGATTCCTTTCCTCTATTTCTTAGCAGTGCTGTCACTTGTAATTAAGCTGCAGCTGCTGCTGTCTCTGAGGAAAGGTGACTGGTTCTGCTTGACAGTATTAGTTAACATTAGGCTGCGGAACTTATTCCTCTCCCTAATTAGTTCGTTTATTTCCGCATATGAGATGATTAAATGAGGACATCTGCCTTATGTGCCTGTAATTCCTGAAGCTCCAATATTTGTGTGTGTGTGTGTGTGTGTGTGTGTGTGTGAGAGAGAGAGAGAGAGAGAGAGAGAGAGAGAGAGAGAGAGAGGGTGATGGAATTAGATATTCCCACAAACCAGGGGATCCAGGATTGGTACATCAGCCCATTACCTCCACGCTCTGAGGATTTAGATTGTCCCAGACAGTCAAAGGAGGATCTGGAATCTCATCTCTAAGTATGCGCACGTCTAAAGATGTAAAAAGGTGGGCCTTCACTTTGTGTGACAAATAGAACCAGAGTGTGTGTATTGCACAGTGGGCACAAAGTCTAGATTATTCATTTATTTATAACATTTATATACAGGTTGATTGCCAAACCTCTAAGCTGTTTACAAGAAATATTATTTTTCAATGAAACAGTTAAAAATATTTAAAAACAAGAAAAACCAACAGACAGAAAAGATAAAAACATGAGGCCATCTACATGCCTGGCAAGGCTTGCCTAAACGAAAAAGGGTTTTATAAGCAGGCACCAAAATATGCCTGCTTGATCTCAACTGGCTGGAAGTTCCACAGTGCATTTATTATTAAGGACATAGATGAACCAGGTAGGGTAAAGGTAAAGGGACCCCTGACCATTAGGTCCAGTCGTGGTCAACTCTGGGGTTGCTCATCTCGCTTTATTGGCCAAGGGAGCCGGCATACAGCTTTTGAGTCCTGTGGCCAACATGACTAAGCCGCTTCTGGCGAACCAGAGCAGCGCACGGAAATGCCGTTTACCTTCCCGCCGGAGCGGTACCTATTTATCTACTTGCACTTTGACATGCTTTCGAACTGCTAGCTTGGCAGGAGCAGGGACCGAGCAACAGGAGCTCACCCCATTGCGGGGATTCGAACCACCGACCTTCTGATTGGCAAGTCCTAGGCTCTGTGGTTTAACCCACAGCGCCACCCAACAGGGTACACAGCGTAAACACTGGATTACATGCAACAATTGTGTTTGCCACATAGAGCTTGGAGCTGTGCCACAAATGCAAAAGTCACGTTTGCAAATGTATCTTTTCCAAGTACAGTGTTAAGATAACTACAATTGCTTCAGCTAAGAGATCACCAGCTGACTGCTTCGATCAGCAGAATTGGCACTACTACAGGTGCCACATACAATAATACCTGTTCCACATTTGTAAGAACTCGGTTTTTTAGTGTGGCAGCACTACACTTTGGAACTCCATGCCTATTGAAAGCAAGCAGGCACCTTCGCTGTGCTCTTTTCAGTGCCTGCAAAAAAAGCATTCCTGTTTAGACAAACCTACCCAGATGCTTAGAAAGTTGTGGTGATTTTAATCTGTTTTAATATTTTAACTTCTGTATGTTTTAAAGTAGGGTTGTGATTTCCTTCTTGGTTTTACTGTTTTATCTTCTTTGAATTCCTTTGAGATTTTTCCACAGTCAATTTTATATATGTAAATTTTAGGAAATAAATAAATATTATTTCTGAGTGTCCACTCCATAGCAGACATGGGTTTAACCTCTATTAATCATAACTGTGAAATAGTCCACAGTTCCTGACTTGACTTACAATGGCAAAATCCCTGGATGAGACTATTCAAACTGGAGCCAAGAACAAAGTCCTCCAGTGTGGTGTAGTGGTTAAGAGCGGTAGTCTCGTAATCTGGGGAACCGGGTTCGCGTCTCTGCTCCTCCACATGCGGCTGCTGGGTGACCTTGGGCTAGTCACACTTCTCTGAAGTCTCTCAGCCCCACTCACCTCACAGAGTGTTTGTTGTGGGGGAGGAAGGGAAAGGAGAATGTTAGCCGCTTTGAGACTCCTTCGGGTAGTGATAAAGCGGGATATCAAATCCAAACTCCTCCTCCTCCTCCTCCTCCTCCTCCTCTTCTTCTTCTTCTTCTTCTTCTTCTTCTTCTTCTTCTCCCATTGCCATCCCAAATAAAGTGAACCAATAAAAGATGGGTTCAGAGCAGATCCTACATTCTATCTACATTCCTTCTAGGATCTTCATAGCTCTCATGTGACTGAGCCACAGTTACACCTTGCTTTTACCTTTGAATATGGCCTGTTAGATTACCTGTGGCTTTCTCTAAATGTGGCTGGACTCCAACTCCCATCACTCCCAGCCATCATGGCCATTATATATTTTTTTTCTGGTCAGCTGTCTTTGTTCTATAAAGTGACCTGCTAGGATTTTGGACAGAGGGATCTGGGGTGGTTGTGTCTTTGTGTTACTGACTGAATAGTATAGTGCTATTTTAATTTACTAATATATTGCATTTGACTTCTGTTTTGTATGCTTTGAAATTCTTTCAAAAATAAAGCAATTAAGAAAATTTCCAAATAAATAATTAAATTGATTCTAGTACCACCACCCCGCCCCCGTTGTGACATGGAATTGTTTTCGACACAGATAAAAAGGCATTTCTATTAAAAAAGCAAATTATCATTTCCCTAATTATTTTTTATTAGGGTGATTAAGTTGGGCAGGTACCATAGGGAAAGCCATATGGTGCCAATATTCATGGATCAGCCTTGCTGCAGAAAAATAAGTTGCAGCCTGACTTGTCCCTGCTTACTCAACACTAATGACTGATCCCCTTACATTTGCTTTGATGTAAACAAACTTTAGGGATGCGGGTAGTGCTGTGGGTTAAACCACAGAGCCTAGGACTTGCCGATCAGAAGGTCGGCGGTTTGAATCCCCGCGACGGGGTGAGCTCCCATTGCTCGGTCCCTGCTCCTGCCAACCTAGCAGTTCAAAGTGCAAGTAGATAAATAGGCACCGCTCCGGCAGGAAGGTAAACGGTGAAGGTAAACGGCATTTCCGTGCGCTGCTCTGGTTTGCCAGAAGCGGCTTAGTCATGCTGGCCACATGACCCAGAAGCTGTACGCCGGCTCCCTCGGCCAATAAAGCGAGATGAGCGCCGCAACCTCAGAGTCGGTCACGACTGGACCCAATGGTCAGAGGTCCCTTTACCTTTACCTAAACAAGCTTTGGCTTGCAGCCAGGCAGTGCGATCCAGTGCACATTTCTGTGGAAATGCATTACACTCCCAGGTAAATGCAAGCAGAGGGCTACAGCCTTGACTGCCTTTGTGTTTTTGTGTGTTTGTTTTGCTTTTAAATTGGTTTTACATAGTTTTATACATTTTAACTTTAACCATTTCAAACATTAAAATAAAGTTTCTTTCAAAGCTTTGGACCTCCATGGGTTCCATATTTGAAATCTTCCATATTCTGCATCTTTTACCATTATCCATCAGTTGTATATCCATAGTTTCCATAGTTGATTCCACATTACAAGTGTCATTAAATCCCCGCCAATGATTTTAACTGTTTACAGTGGTCTTTTAAATATATTAAAAATTTACTCCAGTCTTTTAGAAATACTTGATCTTCCTGGTTAGCCTTGATTGCCTTTGAATCCCAGGACTAGGAGGGGAGAAACTTGGGGACCATTTTAGCAAAGCAGCGTGAAAACCAACTCTGTTTCTCTGAAAGTACCTATAGCAGGGGTCAGGAAACTTTTTAAGCAGGGGGCTGGTCCACTGTCCCTCAGACCTTGTGGGGGGGCCAGACTATTTTTTTTTGGGGGGGGATGAACGAATTCCTATGCCCCACAAATAACCCAGAGATGCATTTTAAATAAAAGGACACATTCCTTGTAAAAACACGCTGATTCCCAGACCGTCCGAGGGCCGGATTTTGAAGGCGATTGGGCCGAATCCGGCCCCCGGGCCTTAGTTTGCCTACCCATGACCTAGATAAAGACACCCTCCTCCCTTATATGAGCTTGGCGGCAGCTTCTCCCATTGCAACAGCGGCAGGAGGGATGGAGCTGAGAAATCTTTGTCCTCCAAATGTGAAACCCCCTGGGCGGTGCTAGCAGCACCTCTGAGCACCCCTAAAGCCTGTTCTGGATATATGCCTGGTCAGAATGGAGCCCCACTGAGTTCACATTACAGTGGTACCTCGGGTTAAGTACTTAATTCGTTCCGGAGGTCCGTTCTTAACCTGAAACTGTTCTTAACCTGAAGCACCACTTTAGCTAATGGGGCCTCCCGCTGCCGCTGCGCCACCGCTGCACGATTTCTGTTCTCATCCTGAAGCAAAGTTCTTAACCCGAGGTACTATTTCTGGGTTAGCGGAGTCTGTAACCTGAAGCGTCTGTAACCCGAGGTACCACTGTACTTATGTTTACTCAGATTTTGACCAAAGAGGCGTCATCTTTATCTTCCCGGTGTCTCCTTCTTTGGAGCCAACCTGTTCTATCAAGAAACCCAGGCAAGCACAAGAGCCGTTTAAAGCGCCTTTATTATGAGATGCAGGAGGGGGGAAAACACACACTCCCGGACGGAGTCGGTCGCTTTGGCTAGAGAGCAACCCCCTCCGCTGCCTCCGCCTCCCTCCCTCTCCTCGCCCCGTCCGGATGCCCCGCTCCGGGCTCCAGGGGGAAGGACGCCCCGTCGGGGCTCAAGCGCTGGCGCAGTCGGCGGGGTCCAGCGAGACGGTGACATCGGCTTTGCACTGGATGACGCTGGGCAAGCCAGGCAGCAGCTGGCAGCTCTGCAGCTCCGGGGCCACCTCCTTCACACACACCGCCTGCAAAGGGAAAGGGAAAAGTGAGAGGGCAAGGCTTGCTCCACTGCGATCCTAAAGCACTTCGGAGGAAGCCCCGTGGAGCAGAAGAGCCTTTCAATGTGCCAGGACGGAGCTGCGCATCTCCAGACCCTTCAGTCATTGCCATATCTTTACCTGCTTGATAACAGCGCGACCCGACGGCCTGTTTGGCTAAAGAGCAGGAAATAATAATAATAATAATAATAATAATAATAATAATAATAATAATAATAAATTTTATTTATACCCCGCCCTCCCCAGCCAAGGCCGGGCTCAGGGCGGCTAACAACCAATAATAAAAACGAGTTGCATTAATACAACTTAAAAACAAGATTAAAATACAACATTAAAACAATTTAAATAGATATTTTCACTCAGATTCTTATAGGTAAAAAAATATAGGTATAATACCATATAGGTTTTTTTAATTTAAAAAGTTAGAAAGTGCTGATTGATACTATTACTATAATTATCTGATGAATACACTTTTCGGGAGTGGCTAATGTACGCTCTTACTCAATAATAATAAATATACAATGCAATGCATTGAAATAAATCACAATGCATATAAAAGAAACTCCCCCCCCCCAGCTGCCTTCTCCACCCGGGACCCCCCCTCTCTTCCAGGGGGCGCGACTTGCGCTGCCCACTACCGTCCGGGCGCCCCCTAGCAGCTCACCATGTTGCGCAGCCCGCTAGGGTTTGGGCGCGCCTCGGACATCAAGAAGGAGGCGGCGGCGGCGCTGGGGCCGCTCTCGGCGCTGGTGCTGCTGCTGTCGGTGTCGTCGGAGCGGCGCATGTAGGGCGAGCGGCGGATGCCGGACAGCAGCCCCGACGCCCTGCCCACCGAGTAGTAGCTGGGTCCGGCCGTCTGCTTGTACCAGGCGTCGGCGGGCGGGCTGAGCAGCGCGGCCAGGGCGAGGCAGAGCAGCGCCAAAGTCCCGGCTCCCGGCATGGTGCGCTCGGCGGCTTCTTTGGGCAGGCGGCGCCGTCGGCGGCTCCTTATATCGGGGAGGCGAGAGCGGAGGCGGGGCGGCCCAGCCTCCTCCTGGAGCCCCCCGGCGCCCCGGAGCTGCGGGAGAGCTGACGGGCGGGGGGAGAGGAGCGGTGTGGGGGCGTCGAGGCTGCGTCGAGAGAAGGAGGCGACCTGATCCTGAGCCTCATTCGGAAGGATGCCCTTCTGTGGTTCTGGCGCACTCAGAATGGTCGAGTTGGGTCATTTGGTTGGATCTCGAGGGTCATTTAGTCCAACCCCCCCTGCAAAGCCCACAGCCGTCGATGGGTGGGCTCGAATCACCAACCTCGTAGTTAACCTTAGGTTCACAAGCTCGCCTTTAATGATGCTGCTGAGGACTGTCTGTGGCGCCCCCTGCGAGCAAAGTAGTTGCTCTGCCCTGGAGGCTCGACGGCCCTTCCCTTGGTCTTTAGACGTGTCCCTTGAGCTTCACGTCGCCAGCTCAGGGCTGAGAACCGGAGGGGCGGGCGGACGGGCATGGGGTTGCCAACGCGCAGCCTCCCGTCGCGGACGCCGCTTCGGATGCAGCCTGGCGAAAGCTCGGAGCTGGTTGCTGGCTAGCTAGCGAGGAAGGCAGCGCAGGGGCTGGCTTCCTTTCTCCCCCGCGCCCAAGAAACTTCTAACTCTCTTGAAAGCGTTGGGGGGATAGGAGACCACAGAAAGCGGAATTGCCAGGCAGGTGGTAGCTGCGGAAGATCTCCCCCCTAGAAATAAGGGGGGGGGGAGGAGTGAGATATCTCTGCTGTCCATAAAGTTTTGTGGATAATTTACTATAATAGGGCATTTAAAAGCATTTAAAAGTCGTGGTTTCTTTTTTTTTTTAAGGAGGGTTTTTTCTCTGTGTCTAAAGCTGACCCTAAAGTCTTACACCTGCCTTGGGAAACGTTCACTTAAGAGGACCCATAAGCAGAGGAGTAAAGCAATGGCAGTCCCTTCCCATCCATTTGCGGGATGCTATCATTTGCTTTGATTTTAAGTATCTATTCCAGGTTAATTAATCAGGAAAAAGAGCTGAATGTTCCCTGGAATTTCTCTCTTTTCTGGAAAGAGCTGTGCTCTCCCATTTCCTTCCCTCGCTCACACGTACACTTCCTTTTCTCTGCTCCAGTCGCCTGTTTTCTGGTCGAGGGAGCTGTCCCTTTGCTGAAGCAGATGCTGCTGAAATATGCTTTAACTTGAGTAGAATCACGAAGTAGGCTTTTATTTACGTGCGGCTCCACCGCTGTGCGGGAGAATCCTGGTCGCTTGTCAAATTTGGAATTAAAAGCTTATTTAAAGTTTTCTGAAGGTGCTATCAAACAAAATTCTCTTTATAGAGGACTAAAAGTACAGAGTTTTTATACTGTGTGATGAATAAAAGGTGTCATGCTTTCTAATGCCCTCTTGTGGCGTTTTTTCATTTGCACAGGCAGGCAGCTATGGTACCAGCTCATTTGAAGAGAGGCAGCTTCTGACCACGATTAGTTTATAGGACAAATACCTTTGCCCAGGGATACAGTACCAGGTCGAATCTGTGATGCTACAGTTCAAAACGACTTAGATAGATAGATGTACCATTGATTTCATATTGGATCCTTGAGTTGCAATCTTAAAGCATACTTGACTGGGATCATTGTTTAGGCTTGACTGTTATTTTTTTCCTAGAAATTATGCAGTTGATAAGGTTGCAGTTTGAACGGGTGGTGCTGTGGGTTAAACCACAGAGCCTAGGACTTGCCGATCAGAAGGTCGGCGGTTCGAATCCCCGCGACGGGGCCCCTGCTCCTGCCAACCTAGCAGTTCGAAAGCACGTCAAAGTGCAAGTAGATAAATAGCTGCCGCTCCGGCGGGAAGGTAAATGGTGTTTCCGTGTGCTGCTCTGCTTCGCCAGAAGCGGTTTAGTCATGCTGGCCACATGACCCGGAAGCTGTACGCCGGCTCCCTCGGCCAATAATGCGAGATGAGCGCTGCAACCCCAGAGTCGGCCACGACTGGACCTAATGGTCAGGGGTCCCTTTACCCTTTACCTAAGGTTGCAGTTTAAGGGAAGACTAGTATAAGCTTTCTCTGTCCTGTCCTTTTCCAACTAAACATCAACACTTGTTGGGTAACTTTTATCCATGTTGAGGAAAAAGTACCAGGATCCTTCCACTTCAAACCACATCCTTAGTGGCTGCAAGTAAAAAAATGTTTGCAAAAGAACTACGGAACTAATTCTCATTAGTTTGTTTTTGTTTAGGAAACAAATACAAGTTTTCAACCTTTTAGTGCTCTTGCGGTGCTAGTTATACAGAAAATACATGATTGGAGAATGAATGGAAAAGACTTATTTCCTTTTGCCAGTCCACAGAGCAATCGCCTGGCAAAACCATGGTCAAACAGAGGATCAATGCAGCTGCCAGATATTAAATGTCATAGGACCATAGTCTTGAAAGCATTGCATGGCCTGCCTGTGAGTTTCAGACCCAATTCAACAAGTACAAAGTCCTATAGGCTTGAGATCATCTCTCTCAATACTGACCAACCTGTGCTTTAAGATAAGCAGGGAGGCCCTGTTGGTGATACTGTTGGGATATTGCCGGGGAGACGGGGGCATCAGGCAGGCCCCCAGCTGGCTCCAGCCACCGGCCGGCAGCCGGACGATTACTGAGCTCCCTTGGAACAGCATCCATCAGCGACATGAGCCTCAGATACCTTTAGAGACCCGTGGACGCTCTGTCAGCAGTGTGTGTAAATCTTCTCACAGCAGAAGAGGCGGACAGTCATATGTAAGCAGTATACTACAGCATTTTATTCAGCAGCAGGAACAAAGGAAAAAACATGTCTGCTTCCCTTCGTGTCCAGCAAAACAGCAGCAATACAAAAGCTATATACAAATGGAAGTTCCCAGCAAGCGCGGGAAGTAAACAGGCATGTGACACACATCAGTCATGCCTGTTCCCTTTTAAGGTGGAACGGAACTATATCCTAACAGATACCACAAATAGATATGGCCCATGGGGCAGCAGCAAGGCAGAGCCCACTCTGTGGCAGTGCCCCATTGGTGGAACTGTTTACTGTAATAAACGGAAATCTGCCCTTATTCTATTATGGGGTACACAAGAGCCCTCGTAGAGTCCTTTGCAGGTTCTTCATCGGTCAGAGAAAATAACAGAGGCCAACCAGAGAATATTGAGAAGCAAAGCAGCTAGTAAGCCTGATCTTTATTAAAGCTGTTGCAACAGGGTGCCCCCTTCACACGCAGGAGGAGGAGGAGGACCCAGAACCCAGGTGTGTCCGCCCTTATATAGACATTTTAAATTGCCCACCCTGGAGTTCAAGACCACCCCCATAAACATCATACATACATCACAGAAGGGGCGTAGCTCAAGACCACCCCCCAGACACATCATACCTCAATCAAAATAAATCTGAGTGTGTTGTTTATCTCCTGTCTGGCAGGTTACCTGATAATGCTTACTTGATTGGATACCCTGGGGAGACTGGCCAGTCTTTTGTAATGATAAATACTTAGTTCCTGAGCCAGGTCACAGGCTGACACCCTATTCATATCTTAAATGTGCCCTTAAGACAGGATTTGTGAGGAAAGAGACAATGGGGATGTTTCCCACTTTGACCTTGCAGAGAAATATTTTAAGGTTTTAGATATGTAATAAATTTTCATAAATGTACCAAGCAAACACGTACATAAATATATAAACCACATGTCTGAAACCCCACAGAAAAAGGGTTATGAACAAATTGACTTCAAGCGTTCAGTAGGAACTCTGAATTCAGATTGTAAGAGGCAGGAAGGTTGCTGTAGTGCAAATCTTGCTATGAACCCTGTATTTTAAACGGTTGGACTAAGTGACCCCAGGGTCCCTTCCAACTCCCAATTTATGGCTATGTGCAATGTGTCTGCAAGCACTGGAGGGTAATTCTTAAGTTCTGGTGTATGATGGTGGGCTGAAATTCAGCCCAGCTTTGCTTTTTGGTACAGAAAGATGGAAAGATTGGTTTTCGGAGTTTAGAACACAGTAGAGAGTTTTAAAGGGTGAGAGGTGAAACCCATGATGTTTTGAAGCACAGCTGGTGATAACAAGCATTTGAGTCATTCTCTAACAGTTTTTACCATTTTGCCTATTATTTAAAATCAGACTTCAAAGTCTATTCAGAGTTTAAGCACATACAAATTCATAATCAAGTAGAATGAGCCTTGACCACCCCTGTAAATAAAGGACAGAAAAAATTGTCTGCAAATGGTAAGGCTGAAATGACTGATAATGTTAAAGATCTTATGAATTCTGACACTCTGGCCATTTTTACCCATACATAAGGGAACGAGTGATTGTCCCATGAATGACCAGATAGCCCACAAAATGATAGCCCACATTTTTTTAGAGAGACCTGCACCCTAATTTCCTGTACATAAAGGAGGCAGATATTTCCAATTCCCTTTGCCTGGGCTGCAGGAAACATGATTCCTTAGAAGTGAGTTAACAAATTTAATTTGACCAACTTCTATTGCTGGCTTTGGTGAGAACTTGAATTGCTGGGTTTCTGTTTTTGTTTTAAATCTAGGTAAAGGTAAAGGTACCCCTGCCCATACGGGCCAGTCTTGACAGACTCTGGGGTTGTGTGCTCATCTCACTCTAGAGGCCGGGAGCCAGTGCTGTCCGCAGACACTTCCGGGTCACATGGCCAGCGTGACAAGCTGCATCTGGCGAGCCAGCGCAGCACACGGAACACCGTTTACCTTCCCGCTGGTAAGCGGTCCCTATTTATCTACTTGCACCCGAAGGTGCTTTCGAACTGCTAGGTTGGCAGGCGCTGGGACCAAACTAACCCTATTTTAAAATGTATTCCTTACCCTTCCCTTCCTTTATTCAAATGGTAATTAGCCAAAAGATGCAACACTTTTAATGGTATAAAAGATTTGCTGAAACATGAACTCTGCACATGCACAGAGGCTATGTCAGCTTAAAAGAGAGGAGGGGGGAGAGAGAGGGAAAAGAAAAAAAGGAGGTTTGGAGAGACAGCTGACTGCAAGGAGAAATTTATTCAAATTTATTTATGTAAACTTATGTAAACTTATTTATGTAAACTTGGAACCATTGAGGGACCCTTATGTGTCCTTTGCTCCAGGGGCTACTTAAGAAAAAACAAAAGGTGTTAACTACTGGACCATCAAAAGTCAAGAGGTTGCCAAGTTCCAAATCTAACATGCCAAATTTTTTCTACAAGTATAAATATCAGAGTAGTCCTACTATAAGTTTGTCTCTTGAGTAGTTTTTACTTATAAAAAGAAAAAAAGGGTTTTAATGAATTTTATAATAGGTTTTGTTTTGTGTGTATATACCTATGCATTTTAGGAACAGCATTTTCTGACAGAGATTTTCACATGAAATAATTTCCCCTTTCAAACAGGATACGCGAACCTCTAAGAAAACTCAAACCCACATAAGGAAAATATTTAATAACTTGTCAATTGTGTCCAAATTAACAAAGGTTTTGTCCCTTCGTTTCTTCCACAGCCAAACTAAGTGAAATAAATTAAACAGACTGAGGAGAAAATAACAGTAGTAATTATATGAAAAGCTGATAATAATATTGAAATGAATAAAATGCTTAACTCTAAGATTTTTTTATTGTTTGCAGCTTCCCAAGAAAATGCAAGGATATTCTCTAACTGTGTTTTTAAGTCCCCAAAACCCTGTCCCTTACAGGATATTGCTTCTACAGATGTTAATGTAGACCCAATGATGGAAAACCGTCAGCCCAATTCCTCGTGACCACCAGACTATTTATTACCTGCAACAACAACAGACACCAGAGTTTTCAAAGTGGCCACAGCAATCTCTTTCCAAAGGACATAGACTGAGAGGGGTTGGGGGGCTGACAAAGGGGGGAAAGTTGAATTGCAAGGACATTCTCTCTTTTGACCTCAAGACTCTGCCCTAGGTTTGAAAAGATATGTAAAAGCAGCAAGAATTGGCCTCAAGATATGCAATTGATATATAATTATTGTTATATGTTGTGTGATATTATGTAGAAACATTGAACTATGTCTGACAGTATATGTTATTTTCACAAAGGGGGGGTGACCCAATTTTTGTGTGTAATTGTTTTTATGTTTAATGTATAGTGTCTTATTGCTTACACCCCAATGGAGGATTCTCATGCATTTTATGTTTTCTAATATTGCGTAGTCCAATATTTAGATTAGATCAATTTATGACCACATTTCCTTGTCCCACCTGGCACTCTGCACTCTACCAACCTTCCCTACCCATTTTAAAATGTGTTAAAACTCATTATACCAAGGAGAAGCTTCAGGATCCATGAAAACACCAGATACACGAAGGTATATATGCCTTGATTTAGCAGGAATGGTCCCTTATAGAGTTAAATTGACTAATTTGGACAAGTGCCCTTTTTAGAATTTTTTTTTACAGATTGGTTTGAAAAGGTGAGAACCATGGTGCTATCTAAATTCTAATTGGACTGCTGTTTAACCCACAGTGCCACCCCAGTAAAATCTAATCAACACCTGCTAAAGAATGGGTGTGGCACAGATAAAATGATAAGATTAACTGTAAGACAGGAAGCAAACAAGGGTAACTAGTTTAGTCATTGCTTACTAGGATTATATTCTTCCAGTGTTACATTAAGCAGTATAAACAAAATGAGAAAGAGGCAGGAAAATCTGGGAAGAAATAGAACGATTGGAAGTATAGGAATTGCTCATCTCAAAGCCTTCCCCTTCTCCATTAGAATGCATAGCCTAAAATTAGTGCAAGAATCTAGGGTCTTCAATGGTTAGTTAGCTCTCCAAGCTCAGACAAGGAACTTAGTACTATCAAGGAACCCACACTCACTTTCCCTTAAGGACAGGCATATCCTTCCTCCTCCATTTCTTGACTATTAGTCTGGGTTCTGTGGGAAAACTGTCACGCTCACTTTCTGAAGGATTTTGAGAAACGCTGGGGATTCTTTCACTCTTTAGATCAAGGTGTGTATGTATTGTAGAATTTGCTGCCTGCTTAATTTGTAATTTTGCTGTCTGAAGCAACATCTATATATTTTCTGTCACTTTCATTTCATATAACAATAAACCGAGTTTTCGTAAAGTCTTTTGTGTAAGAACTTTTTTGTGGGCACGGGGTTAGGAGAAAACACATATTCATAACAGACACATGTCATAATTCTAGCAAAAGACCCTAAACCTCTTGTGTATACATGTGAGTGCTGGACATGCATTTGGGTTCAGACACATACTTTGTAACAACGCCAACACTTTCTGCAGATTGAAATGACAGCATGAACCATACTTGACACCTCAGTTGATATATTGGACAAAGAGTAAATTTCAAGTTACCAAGGCTTTCCTACAACAAAGCATTAAGTGTGAAATTCTTTAGAACAGGTAAACAGAATGCAGTCCTCCAGGTATCACTGGACTACAACTCTGATCATCCCTGACCACTGGCACAGGAGCTGGAGCTAAGGAGTCAACCAGCACCATTGCAGAACTCTTGGGGGACCGAGAACAAGGTGAAGAATTTTAGACACAATAATCCTGTAACTTTGGCTTTTGTAGTAACTATATAAACAGGTTGAATGGTAATCACCAAATTTTATATAATGAGAAATAAATAAAAATATTCCCGAGTCTAAATAATAAACAGGAGGGTGACAGTGGCACCTCTGCTCTTGCATTGCCTCCTTCCAGCCACTGCTGGCAATAGGAAATTCTGCAACATCTCTGCATTTGGATGTAGCTGGATCATTCCCTCACATATGGGAGAATTCTCAGAGGATTCTGTTGCCCTCTGCATGAGTTGCAGCTGTGTGCTAGCCCTCATCTAACAGAGTAAGCCCACAACTTCTTTCCATTCAGCTCTATGTACTTGGCAATAATAAAAATAAAAAGGGGGAAATAGCTCTCAAGAAAAATATCTGGCAGTTCCACCTGCCACTGAACCCAACACATTGTGACTATATGATTTTGCCTTTAGTAGCGATCCCCAGAACATAACCCCCGCATCAATTGCAAGCGTATCTGCAAAACAGATACAAAACAGTGACTCATGAGAAAAAACAAAGGGCAGGCTATACTTCAGGCAGGCACTTCTCACCCTGTCGCACCCTAGAATAAACTTTTTTGGGTGTAAAAGTGGGGCCTCATTGTGTTTTAGAAACACTGAGGTCGAACATATGTTAACTGAAGTGAAATTCTGTGGCCTTTTTTAGTTGTTAAGAGTCTATCACTGCTTTGGAGCGGGGTTGCTTTGAAAGGACACATCTCTCAAAGCTGGGGAGGGCTTTGGGGGCGCTGAGAGGTAGCCTTTTTGCCTTTGGAAATTTTCCCTTTAGGAGAATAAGCTTACCATTTTGTTAGCAATACCATGCTCTGTGTTCAAAAGGTCACAGATTGGAACCGTTTACTAACACCACCTTCTCATTTGGGTACCATAAAGGGGCGCCAATTACACATTGCAGGCGGGGGTAGCATACACAGCAGAAAGGACTGGGCACCCAACAGCCAGGATGAAGCATCACAAACAGCTGGTCTGTAGGCTGTGTGGCTACACAGCTAAGCTAGTGCAAGAGTATTTTTCCCATTAAAAGTAATTTTAGTTAAGCTTTTCAGAAGAATGAGGACATCCCCCTTCCCCACAGGTCACATCCTATCACCTCACTGCATTGGCCACAGATAAGAAAACTGCACTCTTGAAGAACCCCCATGTGGATGAAAGAAAGAGGCAGGAACATTAAAGGAATGACTCACAAAATTTACTGGAACCATCCCATGTACAAATGGTAACTCACTGTGGGCAAGCACTTGGCAATCAGAAAGATCTGGTATTACAGCCTTTTGGGAACAAACATATTATTGTACTGCAGGCCAAATGTGTAGTAAGACGAGGACACAAGCCTAGAGCAACCCCCAATCTCTAACACTATTTACACTCAAAAGCTTAGATCCTCGACCAAATTATACGGCTATCAGTGGGGCTACATAGCAACAGGAAACCAAGAATCCTTGTTCATATATAAGCACTTCTTGTAAGAAGCAGAAAAGAGGTTAACTGCTTCATGCCTCAGAATGCAATAGTTGGTGATGTTTGTTGTTCTTATTGTTAAACAATAATTACAAATAAATTACAAATAATTTTAAAGATACTACAATAGTTGGGGGATAAGTTTAACAAGAAGATTTAGAACAGCTTTCTTAACCTTTTGTGCAGTTGTACAAAGCAGCTCCTTGAAATCAGACCTCATTTGCAAGCACCTCATGTGCATTACCAAGGCAATTCACCAAGACACAGACATAAACATCAACGAGGTGGTTCAGATGTTGTAAAATAGCACAAATCTCTCATGACATTTGCCTGTCGGGTATTCTAACCTTCCAACCAGCATAGCCTTATACTTCATACATTGTAGAGACTTTGTGGTCACAGCACAAACAGAGGCAAAAACATAGGATATGTTCCACCACATCCACCTCTCTCTTCAGCAGCTCTGGGAAGGATGAAGGTAAGTGTGGCATTATAAAGTAGCAAGCTCGCCAAGCTTGGGGAAGGGAGTGGGGAATAAATCAGTCCACAAAGCCAAAGAGGTGTTGGGGAGAGGAAGAAATCTTGCCAGTGTCACTCTTTGAACTTCCATTCCTGTCGACACATTGGACAGTGTTGCTGGACTTGCTGGGAGTTAAGCCATTTGAGAATGCAATGCATGTGGAAGCAGTGGGAACACTGGCCCCACACTAGGGGACAGTCATCTCCAGGCACTTTACCTGCAAAACATAGGTTCCATTAGAGCAAAGTTGGGAGAAGACGGTGCGCAAAGGTTAAGGAAAATCCCAGCGAACTGATACTCACAGTCTGGGCAGCAGCCATTAAAGGCCATCCGGCAAATGCCACAGTTCTCATCATTGGCAACCCAGAGCCAAGAGGCAACGCCATGCCAGCTCTTGATTTTCACTTTCATTGTGTCCAGACTATATACAAAACTTAAGATAACACCTGAGGGAAGAAGTAAGACATTTTCTGTTTCTGCAGATCTTCCAAGTTTAAAAGACTGTGATCTTCAGAACTGTACAATCTTCACATTTCTCTAAAGATGTTAAGAGGTTTTGCACAATTTCTCTCAAGTACCTTGACTACCTCACACTATGAAGAAGACTCGATAGTATGTCAAATTTACAGATAGGGAACAGCAAGATAAGAACATTTGGCCACTTTCTCAGTTTACAAGAGTGCTAGGACAATTCTTAGGTGTCCCACCTTATCAGTTCTATGCTGTACTGTTATCTTAAAACTCCACTATAGGAAAGGCTGAGCTATTACAGATATGAGCACAACAATGCAGATGGCTACATAAATGTTACTTGCCATTTCCCTTTAGTGAGGTCCCAAACTAAGACAGGTCTATTAGGCATAAGATTTGGGGGCAGCAGTTCAGGTGACTGCAGACGTTTAGATCTGATATTTTGTCATTGCTTTATAGCAGACAAAATTTGCAGGTATTAAGCTAACAAACAAAATGGGGAGAGGAAAAGAAGTTATTTTAACTTAATTAGTTAAGGATATTAAACAATAGAAATAAATAAATGGAGCACCTGAGTTCTTTGAAAGGCAAAGAGAAAAACATAACATCTCCAGCACTGTTAAAAGGACTACATTTTCCTTTACTTACCTCACTTTACCTTACGTACTACAACTAACAGGCCAGTAAAATATGCCCCTGAATATATTTTTGGTCCCCTCTCCCTTTCTCCTAACATCCAATCTGTAGCAAATAGTTTTGTGGCATTGTCTTTAGTTCTGTAGTAGAAAAATTTGGGGGTTGGCAGATCTTGATTTTTCTGTTGCACCAGTTCCCCTCTCCTTTCAAGGAGGTGAGGCCCAGAACAAAGGTGCGCAAGCCCCTTTAAATAGACATTGCCCGATCTCTTAGCCAAAGACTACCCTAAAAGCATCATACACACACCACAGAAAGAGGTTGTCAACCACAGAAATTTGAGGGCGTGGCTTTTCTCCAGGATATCTGACATTTTACTGATTGCCAGGATATCTGATGTTTTACTGATAGCATTGCCTGGGCAATCTTGCTATTCTTTTGAAATGGTTAGTACTTTGGTTTTTGCTTCCAGTTCACAGGCCCACCCTATTCATACACAAATGTGCCCTTAAGGCAGGGTTTGTAAGCAAAAAGAACTCCTGGGAAACGCTTCTCCAATCTATTTCCTTCTGCAGAGGAAATATTTGGGGTTATTAAGAGTCAAGATAGCCTCAGGAATTGCTCTCCTGTACTATTTCAGACATGTGGTTTATATACTTATATGTGTGTTTACCTTGTGCATTTATGAAGATTTATTCTCAGAATTCTTCTAACAGTCTAAATAAAGTTATTGCACCACTGTCACCACTTTATGAGGTTCTAAAGAAGTAACATAAGCAAGAGAGAGGAACAAGACATAAAAGTACCCGCTCCAAAGAGAATACCGTCTTAACTTTCAGCAGTCAGGGAAACGACAGAAAGACCAGAAAGTAGAGATAGAAGCAAAGTATGAATGCGAGCAAATGCAAATACACAAGTTCCGTTTCAGTTGGGGGTGCAGACCAAGGGGTCGAGCTCACAGAAGAGGAGTATTTAGAAGGCTTGGGAACCAATTAATGGGCAGCAAGGGAGCATTGATAGGTGGGGAACCCCAAAGGTCATCTAGTCCAACCCTCCGCAAAGCGGTACGAGGAGGAGAACAGCCAGACTCTGGGGTAGCAGGGATAAAAACCCAACTCAACTCAACCCTCCACCCTCCGTCGCACCTCCAACCGCCGCGCCCAAGCTCACCTCCCTTCGTACCGGAAGTCCCGCCTTTTGACGGGACTACCCATGTTTCCTTGCGGGCCCAGCTCCCATAAAGCCTCGCGCGACAACGGCGCCTGCTGCTACTTCTTTCTTTCGCCCAGCCGAGACTGCACGTGCGCGCTCATTCTCTCTCCCCGCCCCCACCCTCCTCCTCCTCCTCTCGCTCGGCTTTCGCGTCCTCCCCGCCTTATCCGCATCCGGTCCCCGGTGTAGCGCGGCCGGAAGTGTAGGCCCCGGGAGCCGGAGGGAGCCGCCATCATGGGCGACAAAATGGATATGTCTCTGGACGACATTATCAAGCTGAACCGGAGCCAGCGGGGCGGCGGCGGCCGAGCCGGCGGCGGCCGAGGCCGCGGAAGGGGAGCTGCGGGTCGAGGCGGCGGAGCCGGGCGAGGCGGAGCTGGGCGGGCAGGCGGGGGCGGCCCCGTCCGGAACAGAGGCGCGCTGTCCCGGGGAGGCGGCAGGAACAGGCCTGCGCCCTACAGCCGGGTAGGTCCCTGGGCGAGCGGGCGCGGACGGAGCCCCACCTTTACCCGGGGTGGAACTGGGCTCCGGCCGCTTGTTTTGTGAACTTTCTTGGGGAACCAGGCGGCTCGGGACTTGTTCCGTCTCTTTGGGGGAGCGCCGAGGGGGGTCTCCCCCACGCGGAGATAAGAGGGTGGGGCGGGAGGAGTTGCTTCGGGGTCCTGGCGCGCCTAGGCCCAGTTCGGAGCGCTTGTTGACGGCAACCGGGGCGAGGAAATGAAGGGGGTTTTCCCGCTCCGCCTCCGGGTCGAGCAGAAATGCAGAACAATGGGGCCGCTTTTAAGTGGGACGCTACGTTGTACTGATCGGGTTTTCTCTCTCGTCGCAGCCAAAGCAACTCCCAGAAAAGTGGCAACACGATCTCTTCGAGAGTGGCTTCGGTGCTGGGGCTGGTGTCGAGACAGGCGGGAAGCTGCTCGTCTCTAATTTGGATTTTGGAGTATCGGATGCAGATATACAGGTACTTTCTCCTTTGTCTTTAATGTATCTGGTAGTTTAGTTATGTTACTCATGTTGTAGTTTCCTATTGCTGTTCTAGATTTCCCTTGTGTACTAACTTGTCCCTGACCCGTTACTACATTTCCCTACCCTTTTTCAACAGTAAGTTTCCAGAAAAGAGCAGTTACGGGACAATAAGTAATTGCCCTTGAACCGCCCCCCCCCATAGTTTGGGATGGCATGCAGCTTCAGTTAGCATATTCTGGTCTCCTGTTTTGAGTACATATAAAAGCATTTATGAAATTGAAGTCATGTGGGCACTGTCTTAAGAAGAGAAAGGTGCCTCTTGAAATTCTTGATTGACGATGAGCCTTTTAAAAAGTTTATTTCATGGCATTTGTTTTAGCCATATTATCCAGGTCTATATGCTGTCTTTCAAATTTCCTTCACTTCCTATCTGAGTTATTGATGCAAAACTATTTTTTTCTTTATAGGAAATTTGGAGATAAAAAGTATAGGAAATTTTCTTTAATGTTTTTGTACTTTATTTTGTACTTTGAACTAAGGATATCCTAATGTATTAGCTGAGATGTAGTCTAGGGGACGCGGGTGGCGCTGTGGGTAAAACCTCAGTGCCTAGGACTTGCCGATCGCATGGTCGGCGGTTCGAATCCCCACGGCGGGGTGAGCTCCCGCTGCTTGGTCCCAGCGCCTGCCAACCTAGCAGTTCGAAAGCACCCCCGGGTGCAAGTAGATAAATAGGGACCGCTTACTAGCGGGAAGGTAAACGGCGTTTCTGTGTGCGGCTCTGGCTCGCCAGAGCAGCTTCATCACGCTGGCCACGTGTCTGCGGACAGCGCTGGCTCCCGGCCTCTAGAGTGAGATGAGCGCACAACCCTAGAGTCTGTCAACACTGGCCCGTACGGGCAGGGGTACCTTTACCTTTAGTACACAGATATGGCCAGTGTAGGTGTAGTGCTTAAGAGTGTTGGGCAAGGACCTGGGGAACCAGGTTCCCACTCTGCTACGAAGCGTACTGGATGACTTTGGACTAGTCACTGTCTCAGCCTAACCTACCTCATAAGTTGATGTGTGATGATAAAACGGGGAGGAAGAGAAATAGATGTGCTCCCTTTCTCCTCAGTGGAAAGGTGGAATATAAATGTAATTATAAAATAAGGAATGAAATGCAGTTTAGATTTTGTTACTGCTTCTGATGAGGCTACAATAAAAAAGAAAATGTCACGGAGAACAGAAAGGTCTGCTCTTCTATTCTTTGGCCCATCTGTTATTAATATTTTGCAAGAACCTCTTACTGTGTCCTAGCATATGTGAGATCTTGCTTTCTCGCTTTCTAGGAGCTTTTTGCGGAATTTGGGACATTGAAGAAGGCAGCAGTGCACTATGACCGTTCTGGCCGTAGTCTAGGTACAGCAGATGTCCATTTTGAGAGAAAGGCAGATGCACTGAAGGCTATGAAACAGTACAACGGAGTTCCCCTGGATGGTATGTATTTTATGTTCACCTAGGTATTTACTCAGTGGGTGGGAGAAGGTATGAATGAGAACTCTGCTCATACACATAGGCGACAGTAACATGCTGACCAAGTGCATGGAATTTCATGCTGGTAAGTGAGCAGGCAGGTGAAGGAAGGATGAAAAATTCTATCCTGCCTCACTCTTGGGTCAGCAGACCAATATATTTTTTGCAGGTCAGCAATTTTTATGAACTTGCTTACAAGGTTGCCGTAAACGCTTGTTCTTTTTATTTTTCCTAGGACGTCCCATGAACATCCAGCTGGTTACATCACAGATAGATACACAGAGGAGACCAATACAGAGGTAGATTTGTCTTTTGATATTTCACATTGATTAATAAACTATATGGATATCTCCAATTTTAGTGCAGACCCTGTTCATTTACATTTTTTATTCCCAGAGATTAAATAATAGATGGACTTCCCACTGTTATCTTACAACATGGAGCATGATTTTTAAATTGTAGTTATGTTAACATTACCATACTCCGCTTCTCTACGAAGTTCTTTGTGAAGGGTGTAGATTGAAATTTATTTCAGTGGGTTACTGTAATGCAGTTTCTATTTGTAGGTTGCTGTAATTCAGTCTTATCTCTTGCTTTTAGTGTAAATAGAGGAGGCATGACCAGAAACCGTGGTGGTTCGGGTGGCTTTGGTGGTGGCAGCAGACGAGGCAGCCGTGGCAATAGGGGCAGAGGTAGAGGTGCTGGCAGGAGTTCCAAACAGCAGCTCTCTGCAGAAGAATTGGATGCACAGTTGGATGCTTACAATGCCAGGGTAAGTAACAGTTGAGGGATGGTGGATGGCGGTGGGGAGACGGAGGTGAGCCTGGTGGCAGAGCCTGGCATACATGCATTAGTCATCTGTGAGAAAAAGTGCGACTTCACATAAAGTAAGACATTTGGAGATAGCACAGCACTAAAGCAGAGCAGTCTGTAGTTTTTTTGTTTAGTTTCCAAGTGGTTTCCATGTGTTCCCTACTGTGTGCGCAAGAATTAGCTGCGTAACTGTGGAGTCAGTTCCTACAGTGTAGCAAACTATGATTCTTGTGGAGTGCTACTCAGTCTGGTGAATTTGGTGACTCACTAGATTTGGTATCTTTGATAGAACACAGCCTGTGGTTGTGGAGTGTATCACGTTCTGCTGTGCTATATCAGCTGTCATGCTCTAGGCATGTTTCATAGTCATGCTGCACAATCCTATTTTCACAGCTACTCCGATTCAACTCAGCGATGGATGGTGTTCTTTATTAACACTTCTGCCCTGTAAAGAAGTCAATTTGGGTAGACTTTGCTGCATGCCATCTTCCTGCTACCATCATGAGTCATTACTTGGAACTGAAATCCAAGAGACAAACCTAAATTTAAATATGCAGGACTGTAAAGTACATGCTAGTTAATAGAAGAGGCCAACTAATTGTGATTCTGCCATGTGTTTCCTGAGTACAAAATACAACTTGGATGCAGATTTTAAGCTTTCTCTAGTATTCTGTAACTGCTTGCAGTTTTGAGTGGAGATTTATGTACATGCCATGTTTGCAGCCTTCCCCAAACTGCTGCACTTCACATGTTACTGGACTAAGTGTCTCATCATCCTTGATTGTTGGCCGTGCTGGTTGGGGCTGCTGGTAGCTACAGTCCAAAACATCTGGAGGGAACCAGTTGGGAAAGGCTGTTGTGAACTCTATTCACTTTCTGCTGTTAGTGAAAATGTATTAGAGAATTATTTTCCTCAGCACTGAGGTATAAAGATGTATGACATTATAAAGGTATGAGATATATTGGGGAAAGTGCAGATTGCTTTCTTGGCTAAATAACTTTGCCTACATGCACAGAAATGATGCAGCGAAAAGCTATCAAAAAGCATTTTGTTATGGTTAAACAGTACTGCACAGGTTCTGGTTGTACTGTGCTGCTTGGGGAAGTGCCCTTGACTATCTGGATTTCTTGTCTTGGTACTTAGCTGGTGGCAGCCAACTAAAACTTTTCTTTCTCTTAGATGGACACCAGTTAAAGCTGTTGGCGCATCTTGTGCATGGGAAGGACTGCAGACATCTCATTCCATGTTCCCCAGTGGGAGAAGAAGGGTGGATGGCGGCAGCGGCTACTAATATCAAGAATGGAATTTGTTTTACTTTTATGTTCTGGAATAGGTTTCAAACTCATGTAAAGTTTTCTTTCTCTCTTTTTTTTAAATTCTGAGACAGATCTGTTTTGTACCGAGTTATTTTTGGGAAAAATTTTACTGGTTGCCTGTTGGGCCAAGATGGCTTTTTCACCTTGGCAGTAATAAAATAGAAATGTGTCTAGAGCTGTAAATGTCTGCTTCCTGTTGCAGCTGGAACCTAGTCTTGGGGCTGCAGAAGCCAAGACAGGTAGAGGAGCAGGTGTCTGGCTGCAGGCCCCTAGCAAAAGAGTTGGTGCTGATTGCCCTTCCTAAGGGGAGGGATTCTGTTCTCTCAGGTCTCTCTCCTCCACTCTGCCCCCGTATGGGCTTGTAAACTGTATATTCCTCATCTCCTGTGTGCTGACTCTTCTTCGTCTGTGCTAAAGCCAACCGGTGTGACTGCTTTTGCAAGGAGAGGATGGTGGTCTCCAGTGAGAAAGCTCCAACCTTAGTGGTCATGAGAGGGAGTAAATTTCTTGTTAAAAGTCGTTTTTGTATTTAACACTTGATTCCAAAGTTCAGTGCTGGTCCCACCTCAGTATTTTTACTGTAAAATAAGTTGCTGTGAAAACTCAGTGACTCCAACATGCCAAGTAAAGATTTAGTCTTTCAACTTGCAATTCCCTATTGAATTCTTATTTCAAGTACATCTGTTTGGGGGCATTTATTATGGTCTTTTTTCACTACTGCTGATATAGTGGGTTATAATATACTGTAGTCATTTCCAGGTCTTGTGAGAACGGAAGGCAGAGTACATATTGTAATATTGTGGTGGGGTGAAGGGGATCTTTATCTTCTATGTTTGGTGGGCATTAACCTCAAGCCATTCATAGACATTGTACCAGTGCCACCACCCAAGGATACAGGTTTCTCTCTCCCCACCAGTTATCAGCTTCGGATATGAAAGAATCTGTGTCTTCATGGTTTTTGGCACACTTTCACTTCAGCACCACAGCTTCCTAATGCTGGAGGTGAGAGTAGGAACGCATCAATCTGAAACGGTACCAAAATTACAGAAGTATCTTTGATCTTTGCATTTCTAGGAAAAACATTTAACAAAACCAAAAGGGGGAAAGCTTTGAATACAAGAAGTGTAGATACTTGCTAGACATTGTGATCTGTCATTAATTATGTGCAACAAATTGTCAAGATCAAACAAATTTCCATAAATACCTATTATGATACTAAATACTGGGTGAAAATTTCAGTTGGGAAGACCTGACATTGGTTAAGTTAAGGCATGCAGTGATGATAGATGTGTTAATTTCATCGGTGTAGAAAATATGACTGGAAGGGGGGGACTAGTAACCTTTCCGATTTTGAACTCTCAGCTCCTTATCTAACCAGAACCAACATGACTAGTAGTCATAGTTAGCCATTCCTGATTTAAGGTAATGAGGAAAAATAACTATTTTCTGTACAAAATTCAGATAGTCATAGAAGGTTGTGTTAATTATATTTTTAAGAACAAGTTTTCAACTTATTTCCAGATACTTGGGTGCATTCTGTTTTGTATTCATAGCTAGTTGAAATTATACCCTGCTAGAACATTAATGCTCAATTGCAACGAGGCTATTTTTTTAAAAAAAAGAACTTTATATACAAAAAACTTTATATACATCAGTTCCCTGCATCCCATTTAATGAGGACTGTTGTGTGTGTATAGTAGAACGTTTGCTTAAAATGATATTCATTTTATAAAAGACTAGTTTCTCATTTCAGAATAGTACCAGCTTTTTTGAGATTCTTAACCCTTAACTCCATTTTGGTTCTGTTTAGCAATATGCTGAGCTACTAAAGGGCAATGGAGGAAAGCCCCACACTACAGAATTAATAGGGAATATACGGTACTTAACAATTGTTTTAATACATGCTGCACATGTGCATACTTAGCAAAGAGTTACTGCCCTTTCCAGGTACATTTTAAAGTTGCAGCTAAACATCTTGGCAGGGGGTTGGACTCAATGGCCCTTGTGGTCTATTCCAACTCTTATGATTCTATGATCTATAGAACACCACTGTGCTACACTACGTTTTAGTAGTTGCAAGAACTGCATTTTGTTTGTTAGGATTACAGTATTTTAAATACCATAGGGATTAAGTTTGTTGTTCCTTGAAAAACAAATTTAATGAGGTGGTGGGCTATTGCCTGATTTGGACTTGTTTATGGGTGGGCACACAGTTCATGTAGTGCAAAGTAATAAAAATCTAGTATAGATTTTTAGCATAGTTAACTTCATTCTAGCATAGCTTAATCGGGCAGCAGTTCTCAGTATTCTCTTTGTGCCCAACACTCGCTGGAATGGATCATGCCTTCATAAACGCAGGCTGTATTTAAGAAAGCGTTAAGAGTTGCTTACGCCTAATAGTTCCTAACTGTTCAGTGGTCCGCTCTTATGTGTTTACCCAAAAAGCTGAACGGCATTTCCACATCCGTGTCTCGTATTCTTGCACGTCAATTCCGCGTGAAACAATTTAAAGTTTTTATTTGATGGCGGTGAGAAGTAATCCTCTGCTGAGATGACCTGTGTACCCGCTAAAATCCTAAGTATACTTACGTTTATGAGGATGCGAAGCGAAGCTCGCCAAACAAGGACGGGGGAAGGAATGGGGTGAGGGCAATTCGGGCATAATATTTAAAAGCCTGTGGGGAGGTGGCAAAAACAATTCCTGTTAGCTGAAAATGTATAGGAGGAACAATGGAAGGGTGCGATGGTCACTTAACGTGGTGTGGATGAGGGAACTCTCAACATTTGCCGCTGCTGCAAAAACCTGATGGCAGTGAAGAGGAGGGAGCCTTCCGCTCACAGTCCCCTCGCCACCGCCCCCTTCCTCCACCTCCTCCTCTGCCTTCCTCCAGCGCTAGAAGAAAAGGCCTCGGACCCTAAAGCACACAATGGAAGATCGTCATCCGCCCGGCGCACAGGCAACAAAAGTCCGCCATTCCCACCCCAAGATGGCCGCCGGGCGGGGAAAACGGGAATTTCCCCCCGCCCTCTTTTCCCGTCTCTCTATCTCTATATTATGTAGATACTCTAGGAGTAGGGGCGCTCTCTCTATGATCGGGCTCGGCTCCCTTTTTACCGCCTCCGCTTTAGAAGCCAATGCGCCGCCCGCTCACCGGACGTGACGTCTCCACGGAGGGCGGGTGGCAGCCGGGATAGCCTGCCGGCCGGTGGAAGGAAGTGACGCCAAGGGAGCATCGCGGAAGTGTGGGGGCGGGGGCGCGCGCGCGGGGTGGATCTGGGCGGTGGCGGGCGGCGTTTGTCACCGGTGGCGGCAGAAATAGCAGGAGCAGCGGCACCGGCGCAAGGTAGAGGCCGGCGCTGGGCAAGGGGGCTGCGGCTGAGGTCGGGACTTCTGGGTTTGGGGGCGGGCTGCTGCTGCAGTGCCTGGGAGCCTCCTTTTCTCCCGAATTCCCCCCCCCGCCCCATCCGGCTTCTTCACCCCACCCTCCTTTCGCTTTGGCGATGATGGTTGCCCGCCGTTTCTGCTCGCCGTCGCCTCTCCGGGGCGGTTTTATGGTTTCCCTTCCGCCCTAGTGGGAGTCGCACCCCTCAGGGCCGGTTTGCGTTATGAATGGGCGACCTCTGCGCCCTCCCGTTAATTTCTCGGTTGGGGTGCCGTCCATTGAGCTCTGCAGCTGACTTCCTCTCCTCCTTATTCTGCTATTACTTAGATCAAGTTAAATATCTCTCTCCATCGCTTAATAGTCTCCCTTGCCTGTTAGTGCTGCCATGTAGGCACCTGCTGGCATAGGGTGCGGGAGGGAATAAACTTCCCTTTCTGATTGCTAATCCTGGATCATTTTTTTACTCTGTTCATACCCAGATTTCTTGTTCCTGCCTTCCTTTATAATAAGTGACCAGTTCCCATTATAAATTGCTTTTGTTTCTTTGTTTTGTTGGAATAGGCATAAAGTGTATCTCTACCTGCTCTATAGCTGCTTGGGTAGGCGTTGCTGGCCTTCACAACTTTCTGGCTTCCTGGTCTTTTCTCCATAGGAGCTCTTATATTTTTCCTCAGCAATTTCCTTCAAGTCAAGCCTGCAGCAAGTGTGTGTTAATATTATTTTTCTAAGTGCCTGCTTGGCGTATCATGACATGAAATTTCACACAAGGCCTTTGAGAAAGTCGCTGTATGAGAGAGTATGGGTGAGCTTGAGTATGGCTCAGTGCTTTATTTGAGCTAAAACTTGGCATTTTGACCCTGGAGTAAGGGGGGCTCAGTGTTGTACAGAGAGTACCATTTCATCCATGACTGAGTTGATATATTTCTGTTTCTAGGTTTAGCACAGAGGAAGCCAATGTGGTGCTATCCAGGTGTTGTTGGACTCCTGTCACCCCTGACCATGCTGCTTAGGGCTGATGGGAGTTCTACCTTAGGAGTCCTAATGTGAACACTCTACAGGCTTGAAGAGCATCTCTCCTTTTTATATTAAGCCCTGGTGTGGGTGATCGTTCATATCGCAATCACTAAAGAAGGTCACTACTCAAGCTGTTTTATTAACAGAGCCTTTATTTGAGCCTGTTCTCTCCATGGTATATGCTTCATGTTGGCTCTGCTTATAGAACCTTAGAAAAGGGGTTGGATTGAAACATTGGGACTAATTGCCTGCACATTGAGATGTGGATGAAATGCATATCCTATGGACTAACGGCATGCTATGCAGCTAATGTTAATTCCATAGCAAGATGTGATTGATAATAGGGTACATAGTTATGGCAGCCTGATCATATTTGTGGCTAAAAGTCACTGGATGCAGAGGATTTATTTGACCACTATGCATTTGTGGGGCTTTGTTGCCATAGGTAGGGCTGTATCACTTTTTCGCACTGGATTAATGACACATAAAATGTTTTCGGGGTAAAATGGCTGATCTATTCTTCTAGCAGTCTTTTGGAAAGACCTAGAGATGCTGGATGGGCACCCACAGACCTGGACTCTGTTGTTACGGAGTGTTCTGTTGTCTAAGCGTCCACTAGTAACAGAGGTGTTGAGAGTGGGAGGCACAATGTTATCTGCACAGGTTAGTCATACCTTATCTGTAAGGTGTGTGTGTGTAAATCTAGTGCCAACCTCTTGGTCCTGCAAACAGTTATAAGAATATAAATTACAAAAAAGGCTGTAAAACAATATTCCTTGTAACAGTAATTTTATGTCTGTAATGGGTAAAGCTGCTTAGATGCAACATGTATTTCGTCTGCAACCTTTCTGAGAGTGCATTAAAATCTTAGCTACATTTCCTGAATCAGCCTGGTTGCACAGTAGGCTTCCTCTTATATGCTGCAACTAATCAGCCAATATTTGGTTCAGGGTGGGGACCTTTTTGGCTCTACAGGCCACATTTCACAGTCACAAATGATGTCCAGAGAACTAGCAGGCAGCAAGGTGATGCTGAAAGCGAGGTTCCCTTCCCACTTCATTTCAGCAGCTTGTTTCACTGCAAACCAATGTTGGAAGACGATCCTGCTTTGTGCAGGGCTTCCGACTCCTGACAACCAGCTGGTTGTTGGGCACTTCGGAAGCTGCTTGAGCAGACTATGACAAGACCTCACCCTTTTGGCTAAGCCCTGTCCCTACTCATGTGGGGTAAGGTACATAAGAGTGGCTTGCCCAA